AAGTATATATGTTACTTTTAAATTTTAATTATGAACAATAGTATTGTTTATTTTTTATTTTATTTGTTTATTTATTTTTAGATAGGGACAGTGTATTTGTACATTGATAAATTTAAAGGTCTAAGACCTATAAACACTTAAAGGATTTTTTTATTATTGTTTGTGTTATTTTATCTAAAAAACTTTAAAAATAATGTGAACTCAAAAATAAATAATAAAACTTTAAAACCATAATATCTACGTATATTTTGACTTGCTGAAAAAAATATCGAAGGTCTTGTTACCAATTCTTCTTAAGATAGGTTGATGCTTGCTAATTAGATTTTCATATGGCTCAAGGCGAGTTGCAGCATGAATGATCTTTTGCACAGCTAACAATAAATCAGACTCTACCATTACCTTGCTATAATTCTTCTGCCATGCAAGTTCTAAAGCTTTGAGAATGGCATAAATTTCCACGTGTCGCATGACCCGTGCCCAATTGCATGTTGAAGCCAAACTGCCATGCCCCTTCCGAGTCCCTGCAAATACCCCACTGCGGCTGAAAAACCTTGCGAGCACCTCAAAGAAGAACCATCTACATTAATTTTGAAGGTACCATTCGAAGGAGTTCGAATCACATATTATTGCTTTGATTGATTTATACTATAGTTTTTGAGTGTAAATAAGTGAAAGTTTACTAGTTTGAATCATACAATTTATAAGCAAAATAAATTTTTAAAAAAATTTCTCATATCATGTAACTTTGAATATAACAACAATAACAACAACAACTGACATACTAGTTGATAAAAATATATATATAGTATATAACTGGCAATGGAGAGGAATAGCTTAGAACCATTAAAAAACAGAAACAAAAAATCTAGTGGGCAAGAGAAGAATTTTTTTTTATCAAATTAAATTAATATTTTAGCTCAACTTGTTAATTTTTTTGGTCCAAACATATAGTAGAAGATGATTTTGAAAAGTCATGGTTAAATACTTAATTTGGTCCCTCAATTTTTATTTCTGAACTTAGTTCGTCCTTTAACTTCAACAAAGACCCAAATCATCCTTAAAGATTATTTTCCCATAACTAAATTGGTCCTTCCATGATGGAAGTTAACTAAATTAGTCCTTCCGTGATAGAAGTACCCACCTGGCATGTTGAGTCTCCACAATTTAGTTCTTTTAATTTTTAAATGCTTAGTTACAACCCACAAAGTCAAAATCAAGAATCCATTTCAATACTCCAAATCCCATTTTCCTCTCTCCATTTATCCACCTCGCTCCGCACTCTGCTTTCTTCTTCCAAATTCCATCGCACTTCGTACTACGCTTAGTTGGTCTCAAGGCCAGTGACGTTGAAAACCCTTGCAAGCTTGGTGGTTTTTTTAAGGGGCTTCTGTTATCGACACGAAATCAAGGGGGTGGAGAATGAAGGCGACGGTCGCAGACACAAGAATGGCGACAGAAAAAGTGAAGGGAAGAAGGTGAGCATCTCTGATTCAAAGGAGGATCTAGCGGTGGCCCTTGTGAAATACATTGCCGACCAATCTGATAAGGTC